GACAGTAACGTTGATTCCCAACTCTACCCATGTCAGTAATAATAACTAACATTTATTGAGCACATGTAATTTGCCAGACACCCTTCTGTTTTGTATTTATTCATTCATTTAATTCTCACAAACTAATGAGATACATGCTGTTATTGTCCCAAATTATGGATATTAAGTCAACTGAGGTACAGATAAGTAATTTGCTCATGATCACATAGCTCTCAGGTGGGGAGCCTCAATTTCAATTATAGCCATCTGTTGTCAGAGAGTAAACTAATACAAACTGTACTCTATTGTTTCCTGGTTGTACTTGTGGTTACTAATGTACTTCCTGCCTTGTTATGATTGGCTGAGGAACTAGATGGGACTGAGCTTCAGTGTGTGTTCACAGGAGGGTGGGCAGCAACTGACACACCTGTAGCATTGGGACCAGAATCTAGCTTCCCAAACTTAGAACAATAGCTCTATGATGTATGGGCAATAGGACATTTTCAGCAAACAATGGCATGGATTGGTCTATTAGTAAGATTAATTTGGCAGTGATACTCAGCATGTTTGAGAGTGGAAAACATCCAGAGGCAGAGAGATCAGTTAAGCTTTTTCACTTTTCCTGGCATGATTATAAGGGAGTCTGATTCACAGGAAAGGAATTGGCTGTGAAGCAGTGCAGTGGAAATTTGAAATAGAGCCATCACTTTTAATCCTGGTTCTGCTGCTTAATAGATGTATTACTTTAGCATTTTTAGGCCTCAGATTTTTCTCGTCTACAAGATGGGGGCAGTTGGACGATCTCTTAGGACTCAAGTCTAATTCTGTATTAGAATCACAGTATATTACTGTGATATTTCTGAATTGAATTGCTGACTGATTGAAATCAGTAGTAATAAAAATGGAGGAGTAAAGCTCCAGATGATGACTCTGGGGTTATCTGTTCAGAAGTAATGGTTGGGATTTTTCCTTAAAGATGAGAATAACAAGACTGAGTGGTAAATATTTCTATTGAATGTTCTTTGTCCAGTTGGTACTTATATTCTGTTGGTTTACCTTGTTTATCATCTCCCTAAACCTTCCTCTTCCCCACTGACACTGCTTCTGCTTTACTTGAGATAGTCATTAACTATCTCTTCTCTGTGCTATGGTGAGCGTTGTGAATTGTGCAAGACTGTTGAATCACAGATCTGTACCTCTGAAACAAATAATGCAATATATGTTAAGAAAAAAAAAAAAGATAGCAGGAGGGGAAGAATGAAGTGGGGGATATCGGAGGGGGAGACGAACCATGAGAGACGATGGACTCTGAAAAACAAACTGAGGGTTCTAGAGGGAAGGCGGTGGGAAGATGGGTTAGCCTGGTGATGGGTATTAAAGAGGGCACGTTCTGCATGGAGCACTGGGTGTTATGCACAAACAATGAATCATGGAACACTACATCAAAAACTAATGATGTAATGTATGGTGATTAACATAACAATAAACAATTTTTTTAAAAACTCTCTCTTCTCTGGGCTTCCTGTGTGTAGCTTATCCTCTTCTAATACTCCCATTTCTCTTTCAGATGCACATAATCATACTTTCCTGTTAGCCTTAGAATAAAGTTCTTAGCATAAACACTATATCCTGGCAATCAATATCTTTCCTGAAGTTGCCCTTGCTATCTCCTCAATAGCATTTTTGACTACTCTCCTTTGTTCCCTACATTACAGTCATATTAGACCACTCAGGTTCTCATTTGTTGTCTTGTTAAATAATTCTTTGCTTTTGCTCTGCCTTGACTCTCCTTCCCCTGCTTTGCCAACTCCTGTTCTTGCTGCAAAACCAAGTTTACTGTAGTATCTTCACTGCTTCCTTGCGTCTTTCCCTTTTGTAGTGGCTCAGTCTTTTGAACAGCCATTCCATCATGTAGATGTCTTTTTTTTTTTAACACTTTTCACAATTCCATAAACATTTGCTTCAATATGTTTCCTTGATGATGAACTCCTTGATAGGAGGGACTGTGTCTTAAATTTGGACTAGAACTCTTAGCACAGTACCTGATGTATGTGCAACCCAGTAAATGTTTAGCTCAGTTACCCTTTCCACGTATCTATTAACACCTCTCAGAACAGATGATCAGAAATGGTACACTAGATGTTTTACTGTAATTTATTAGTCTCATGATTACCATCAAATTTAATCTTGAATATCTAAGTGGAAGATGTTAAGAACTGATTGGCTTTCCTACTGGCTTATACAACTTCTTTTCGTCTTTTTTAGTATGCTTACAAATATCTTAAATTGAAGATTACAAAAAAAAATCAACGTTGAAATTTTGGGCTTTTAAATTGTTGTTAAAAGGAAAGAATATGGCCTGGCTACAACGAATCTGAATGATTTTCCCTTTATAGCTTTTCCCTTTACCCCATGTTATGTATATAGTATGAATGAAACCTCAAAAGAACAGACTAATGTAATTAACCCAGAATATTTATTTTACATGTAGCCTTGGATTAGTTATGTGACCTGCAGAAAAATGCAAGAAGGGACATTTATTTTAAACTTTAGAGGGAAAGGATTATCCTTTATCAGAAAGATGTTTCAGCAGGTTCATATACAGAAGAAAAGTAATTTATTTGCAGTCTTGATCTGTAGTCATTTTGAAATTGATCACCAATCTTTCTGTTTTCTTTACACTGAACTTTTCGTGTTTGTTTTAAATGTTGTACTACATTTTTCTATTAAAAATTATTGCAACATTTACAGGTGAAAAGTGTAATTATCTAATAGCAGGTCTTTAGCTCAGAACTTTGAGCTTAGCAAATTTCACTGTCTTCTACCAAGCAATTGAATATCTCAAATGATGACTATTTCAGCAGGTATCTTTAATGAATAAGAATTACAGGTAAGAACACTTTTTTTTTCCAATAGTGTTAATGATGTGTTGGTAGTTGTGTTAAAATTTGTTCATCTTTTTGTTTTAATTTGTTAATCTTAAATTATGCTTTTCTAGTTACAAAAATGTAGTGTACAATTTAATGATGAATTAACTCAGTGAATTTTTTTCTCGGTGGAATTTTCTATAGTGTACTTGCTGAATTTTTAAAATATTTGTTTCCTTAAATATTTCACTGGTTATTATAATTCTGTTCCATAAACAGAATACGAGTATGGTTAAAGCCCCAAATAAGATTGGGATCATAGGCCTCTTAGTGCTAATTATTTGAATAACTTATTTTGTTCTCATCTACCAGTTTCTTAGTAAGATGAAGAGTAATAAAAAACTGTCACTAAGCTCTCTTGCAGAGATAGTAAGAGGACATAGTTTCTCTAATTGAAATATCAGCAGTAATAGTAACACATGCTTAATAGCTTTTATTTTAATTGTTGCATAAAATCAGTTTATTAGAACAGCCATATGTGAAAATGATTAGCATGGTAATGTTTCTTTTCTAAGAATGTAAGGTTGATCTTTGATAATTTTTTGAACAGTAACTGAGAGGGAAATTCTTTTATAAAATGTTTTTAAACTTCTTTTTGATCAGTTTGTTTCACAGTTGTTCAAATTGAGTTTAAAATTATTAACTGCTTAGAAATAAAAATCAGTTGTAATATACAAATTTATTTCAGAACTTCATTAATCCAATATCTTTTTGTTTCTTCACACTAATTTTTCATGTTTTCATACAACTTTATACATGTTATTCTTAAGACTATCATTTTCCTGTATAAATCATTAAAGACTAACGTGAAGTTTCATCTTTATGAATATTGTTCACAATTGAACATTTAAAAGAATTACCAAATCTTTAACCTCCAGAATGATTGACATTTATGCATTTTGTCAATATTTCTGCAAGTTTTATTCATTTAAATTTGTTTAGTAAGTTAGTTGTAAATTATTGTAATACACTACCAATATAATAAAAGAACAAAAAATGACACACTCTATTTTAAATATTTTGCAATTTCATGTAATCACTAAAATATAGATAAGTAATTTTACACAAATTATTATTAATATCTAGTAAAGCATTAGCTTTTATAGACCAATTTTTTTTAGTGTTCCCTAGGAGAATGGATAAAGAAGATTGCCAACTCCATATTTCGACTAACCATGAGAGTAGCTTTTAGGATAATTGACCTTTCTATCCTATATGTCTTCATTTTTGTGCGTGAAATTTAAGTCAGTATAGTTGTTGCTTATATTAAATATATTAATCTTTACGTATAGCTCTAAGCCTTCATAAAGTAATGAATCACTTAACTATTAATGGCATTTCAAATCAGGTAGGTACTTACGTGGTTTAAAATTTAGTTTAATATATAATGTCAGTAAATAATATTTAGTTATCAGCAGTTTCTAAAAGATCTTTTGGGAAAGCTAGCTTTTATATGAAATTATTTTAAAGATGGCATATGCCTTTCTTAATGTAATGTTACAATTTTTCTATTTTCAGAAACCAAGTTTAAAAAAATTGTAGTTAATATTTGAGCTATGCTTATGGTAGCTATGCTCTTAAGTGACTATATCCTTCAGAATTATAAATTATTTCTGTGATTTTGCTACCTTAATTGTAATAAATATTGAAATAGCATTATATTGAATTTCACAACAGATAAAATTTCTCTTCTCTCACTTTTTAAGCCCTATAATAGTAAATACTTATGCATATTATATATATGAAGCATATAACCTGCTTTTATTTTTAAAAAGTAATTCTTTTTTTGAAACGGTTTTACTAATGTATGTCTTTTATTTATAATTGTATTTAACATAGAGAAAAATTTTTAAGTGCTCTTATTTTCAGAAAAGAAGGAAATACATGCCTGTATTGATTTCTTTAGCACATTTATTGAATCTACTGTTTATTTTCATGCATTTTACTTTTCCCTAAAATATTTTAAAGGTCATTTACAAATCTGTATTAGTTTAAATTTACATTTTAATTATTTTAAGCATGCAGAAAAGAACTGTTTCATATTTTCCATTGTAAATATAAAATAAAGTATTCAATAATTATTTTGTTTTCAAGATTAAAAAATGAAGCTCCCACTAAGGAACAAGAACCTGTGTCTGAGGTAAATTTTGTTTTACTTGTACCTTAAAGGCTTATATATTTGAAAATAATACTGGTTTAATTTTTTAAACATTTCAATTCATTGTGTATAATAACAATTATTGGCATGTTATCAGGAAAAAAATTGAGATTTGTTTGTTGTCATTAGATATAAAAATATCTAACCCTAAGCAAAATTCTAAGGTGTTTTTGTTTTTACAAAAGCATCATATATTTCACTTGCCTGTTATTTAGTTCAACTAGTGAGTTAATGGAGATAAATTTATGATTTAAAAATCCTGAAATCAATAAATGTCAAACAGTTGACACATTGGAAAATTAATCTTTCCAGATGATTTTATTTTCTGGGACTGTCAGAAAGGTTTAACTAATACTTAAAATAGAAATATTCTGGGGTCTCCGGGTGGCTCCGTTGGTTAAGCATCTGATGCTTGATTTCTGTTCAGGTCATGATCTCATGGATCATGAGATTGAGCCCCTTGTAGAGCTCCTTGCTCAACAGGGAGTCTGCTTGAGCGTCTCTCCCTCTGCCCCTTCCCCCACTTGCACGCTTTCTCTAAGATAAATAAATAAATGAATCGTTTTTAAAAAAGGAATATTTTGAATATATATTAAATGTGTTTTAGCTGTCTTAAACAGGCACTCTGGATAAAATACTTGGGGTTATCCTATAAATGTTATTTACTGGGCAGTCTAATGGATATATGTAGAAATAGTTTTGTTCAAGTACATGTTTTCTTGATGTCAGTTTTTTTAATATTACAAAATATTCCATATCTCTTTCTGAGTGTACTGAAGTGAAGCAGGTTCAGATTTATCTTTTGAACAGCATTTCCATATTGAACAATGAATAAGTGAAACCTAGGCAGAACTTAGCCACCTTCTTCCAAGCAGCTTTCTTTTATACCACAGAAAGTTTTCTTTTGTTTAAAAGGTTTTTAATGACAAATAAGTTTAATAGAGATGGGATATTTTGGTTATATGATTTTTTTTTTTTTAAGATTTTATTTATTTCTTTGAGAGAGAGCAAGAGTGAGAGCACGAGCAGGGGGAGGGGAAGGGGTAGAAGGAGAAGGAAAGCAGACTCCCTGCTGAGCAGGGAGCCCTACCTGGGACTTGATGTGCAGCTCAGTCCCATCATGACCCTAGCCAAAGGCAGACACTTAACTGACTGAGCCATCCAGGCACCCCAGTTATGTGATTATTCTTGAATAAGTTTTGGTAGTTTGTGGTTTTTAACATTGAATTTATCTATATAGACTTGTTTGTACTATTCCCTTAAACTTTTAATGTCTTAGGGTCTGGAGTGATAATTCTCTCATTCATTCCTGATGTTAATAGTTTTTGGGTTCTTTTTTCCTATTGTTGTCATATGTTTTACTTTTACATAGGTTATAAAGAGAGAATACAGAGTTGCTGTTTTTGCTTTAGATAGTTATTTTTTAGAGCAGTTAAAAACTTTAAAAAATAATTTTATATTTAACTTTGTTTTTATCATGTCCAGTGCTCTTCATTTCCTTGTTAGCTCTCCATTTCTGTCTAGTATCACATTCCTTATGCCTAAACAATTCCCTTTGATATATTTTATGTTGCAGATCTACTGGTAATTAATTCTTCTATGCCTTTTTTATTTAAAAATATATTTTTCATTATTGAAAGATATTTTTTGGTGAGTGTAGAATTCTGGGTTGACAGTTTTATTTTCTTTCAGCAGTTTAAAGAAGTCATTTTATTGTCTCTTGGTTTTCATATTTTCTGACAAAATGTCTTACTGTAATTTTGATCTTTGTTTCATATATATATATATATATATATATATATATATATATATATATATAATGTGTCGAATTTTTTGGTTGCCCTCAAGATTTTATCTTTATTTTATTATATCTATAGTTCTCATCAGTTTGAGCAAGATGTAGCTAAGTCTGGTTTGTTCATATGTTTACTTATATGTTTATCTATTTGTTTATTTATTTGGGGTATTTATCCTGATTGGTGTTCTCTGAGCTGTCCTGTATCTTCTACTTCTGGGATTCCAATTTCCTAAATACTACACCATTTGATGTTAGCCCCTGTTCTTAGATGCCCTGTTTTAATCTCCACCCTACCCCATACACACTTTTTTAGTGTTTCATTTTGGGTAATTTCTCTCTGTTGACCTATCTTCAATTTTACTGATTCATTTTTTTCATTTGTGTCAGGTCTGCTGATGAGCCCATTAAAGGGCTCATTTTTCATCCCTGTCCTTGTGGTGGTTGTTTTTTTTTTTTCCTAGCATTTGCATTGATTCTTACAGTTTCTGACCCTCTGCTAAAATTACCATTCTGGTCATGCATGTTGTCCTTTTTTCACCAAAACATATTAATAATAGTAATTTAAAATTTTCTGTCTGGTAGTTCCAGTAGTAGGGTCATATCTGAGTCTCATTCTGCTGATTGCTTTGTCTCCTGACAGTCCATTTTCCCCCTTGCTTTTTTGTTATATAATGTTTGGTTGAAAGCAAGAAATTACAAGTAGGACTGAAATAAATAGTATTTATATCTAAAAATGGGCACACCATTTCTTATGTTAGGTCATTACTATGGGATTTTGTTTCACCTACTAGTGAGTTGAGCTGAGTTTTGGCTTTATTGTTGCTATGGTTACCCTTAATGTACTACCAGCTTCAACTCCTGTAGTATTTTCTTTGTGCTGAGGGTGGGAGTTATGTTGCTGGGGGATTTTTCTCTCAGTGTTCTTGTTTCATACTCAGCTTTATTTCTCCCTGTGAGACTGAGCTTTAGAAGGTGTGTCTTTCTCTCTATATATACTCTTTGCCTTTCTTCCATTAGTACTGTTGTTGCTTGTTATTTAGTGTTTGCTAGCCTGGAAGTGGGTGGTGGGGAGTGGGTGATGTTCTCTGTTCTGGTTTAGCCTCACTCTTAAGGTGGCTCTGTGTTTTGGGTCTTGAGAGTGGGATTTTTTCTTCCATCCCCTAGTCACGGTTAGTTCCTGTGCCCTAGGGGCAATAGGGTTTGCCTCTCTTCTTTCCAAATACGTAAAGGCACGAACATTAAGAAAATTTATGAATCCATAATTTCATCACATCATCTACTGATTCTTTTCTGATACATTCATAATTGACTAGGATAAATCATCAAACTCTTACTTTCCTTTGAATGCCCTATTTCATCTGTGTCAAATGAAGCCACCTTTCTTACAAAAACCATTCTTAAGTTTAGTTTTTGTTAAAAGAAAAAAACCTTACACTAAAAATTTAGCAAGCCATAAGTAGAGTTAAAGGAAGACATATGGAATGGGAGGCCACATAGAATAATCTTGGTCCAGGTGTTTCTTTCAAGAATATATATGGGGCGCCTGGGTGGCTCAGTCGTTAAGCGTCTGCCTTCGGCTCAGGTCATGATCCCAGGATCCTGGGATCGAGCCCCGCATCGGGCTCCCTGCTCCGCGGGAAGCCTGCTTCTCCCTCTCCCACTCCCCTTGCTTGTGTTCCCTCTCTCGCTGTGTCTCTCTTTCTGTGTCAAATAAATAAAATCTTTAAAAAAAAAAGAATATATGTGATGTAGATAGTTCTTTGAATAGATGCAGGTATTTATTTTAGGCATACCTCTGATAGGATGGATAGCTTGATCAGATGCATTGTATTGGAATCAATATTATCATGCCCAGATAATATTTTCCTGGTATCACTCTTTTTCATTTCTATAGTTTTACATTTTCTCTTTGAAAATTAATTCCTTTCATATACTAGATTATAGTTGGAATCCATACGATTTAGTGGCTTCTAACATAGCCTCTGCCCTGCTACTATGTGTATTCTATACACTGCAACAATCTATTCCTATTGTTCCCTAACTAAATATATACCATGAATCTTCCCCTCCAATTTCAGGGATAGTGGAATTTCATTATAACATAGGTAGGGACTAAGAGAGAGGAGTCAGGTACAGATGCCTTTCTTTTTTTTTTTTTTAAGTTTTAATTTAAATTCCAGTTAGTTAACATACAATGTAATATTAGTTTCAGGTGTACAAGATAGTGATTCAACACGTCCAAATAACACCCGGTGCTCATCACAGCAAGTGCACTCCCTAATCCCCATCACCTATTTTACCCATCCCTCCACCCACCTCCACTCTGGTAACCATCAATTTGTTCTCTCTCATTAAGAATCTATTTCTTGGTTTGCTTCTCTTCCCCCCCCCCCTTTGGTCATTTCTTTTGTTGACTAAATTCTACATACGAGTGAAATGATATGGTATTTGTCTTTCTTGGACTGACTTATTTTGCTTAGAATAATACTCTCTAGCTCCACTGGGGCTATTTCCATTATTTGGCTACTATAGATAATGCTGCTATAAACATTAGGGTATATGTATCCCTTTGAATTAGCATTTTGTATTCTTTGGGTAGATACCTCATAATGCAGTTGCTGGATCATAGGGTAGTTCTACTTTTACCCCTTCGAGGAACCTCCATACTGTTCTCCAGAGTGGCTGCACAAGTCTGCATTCCCACCAATAGTGCAAGAGGATTCCCCTTTTTCCACATCCTTGCCACAGCTGTTGTTTCTTTCGTTATTGATTTTAGCCATTCTGATAGGCATACGTGATATCTCATAATGGTTTTGATTTGTATTTCCCTGATGATAAGTGATGTTGAGTATCTTTTCATATGTCTGCTGGCCATCTGTATGTCTTCTCTGGAGAAATGTCTATTCATGTCCTCTGCCCCTTTCTGAATTGGATTTTTAATTTTTTGAGTGTTGAGTTTGATAAGTTCTTTATAGATTTTGGATACTAACCCTTTATCTGATATGTCATTTGCAAATATCTTCTTCCATTCCATAGGTTGCCTTTTAGCTTTGTTGATTGTTTCCTTTGCTGGGCAGAAGCTCTTTATTTTGATGAAGTCCCAATAGTTTATTTTTGCTTTTGTTTCCCTTGCCTCAGGAGACATCTCTAGAGAGAAGTTGCTATGGCCAATGTCAAAGGGCTT